AGGGTCGCCTGTTCCTTATATTATAGGCCTTGTGCATAAAATATATTATATCGTCGTCGCATGTCCAATTTCTCGAATGATGCCGTGACCGTGCGCACTTACACTTTTCCTCAGTCTTTCCGCCTCGTTATTCCCTTCCCAGTGGTTATAAATTATACGTATGTGTGTGTGTACCCTTACACGTGCGTGTCGTATACGACAACGGCGTTTTACGACCTATTCTTGCCTCAAGAAGACAACCACGTAAGTCAGCCGCTGCTTCATCGCAATACAAAATAACTTTGTAATACTCCGACGTGTATAATTTAATAAGCAAATAACCATTTGCTATTATTGGCACGTAGTTGTCGTCGTGGTTTTGTTGTCGAGTGGACGGAAACTCGCGGACCGCTGGAAGAACTTTTCATCCGTGTCTATATTTGAATATCGTAAGCTCCCGCAAGTCGTCACCCGCTGTCTATATACGACGGGTACTGGGCGGGGGATAGAACGAGGGAGGGTCAGTAAGGGTTGACGGGAGGGTGAGGTGTTGGCGACCGATTGAACTGGTGCCACCGCCACCGCCTATACAGGTACCTACGTATTGTACGACAATAATTAGGTATTATAATATTATACATCTAAGCGAAAACGACAGTATAAAACCGACACGATGGGCGAGACGAGCACCGAGCTCCGGACTCTGGAAACAAAGAACCGACGTAAAGTAACAACGCGCGGTTCCCGAGGGCTCTTATTGCGATTTCCTCAAAATCTAAACAAAAAAAAAAAACAACAAAACTAAAGAAAGAAAATTATCGTTAGAGGGGTTGACCTGCATGTACACGACGCACAACTATGGGGCGGTGAGCGGCAGCGGGTGCTCACAGGAAGTAATTGAGTTTGCCGAGGGCTGATGGCCGCGGGCGGCAGTGGTAAAATACCAGCGAGAAAAAGCCGCCACAACTGCTATAGGCCTTTTGTTTCGAAAGCCGAATGCAAACGCGGTCTCGGTTGTGTTTTCTACCATCCCCCTATATATATATATATATATAATAATATACGTATGCCCGTCACGGTGGGATCAGAAATTAGGTTACTTTTTTTTTTTATATTCTCCCCCACACAACAAAAACCCATCTAACTGACTGCGTACACAGACCGACGACAATGGTAAATGGTACATCTATATATGTATATTATTGATGAGTCTGAATATCTTTATATTCTTACGGGATTTACAAAAGATTTGTCCACAAAAGTTGAGCTTTTAAAAGCCAGTTAAAAAAGCACGTCTTGTGTGAGGGTTATAACTTAAAAACGTGAAATTATTCTAATTCAATTTCGAGTTGTAGTGATTTTGAAAAATCAATAAACATATTAATATTATACGTAGGTATTATTTTCTCTTGATTGAAGAAAAAATTTACGTAATTATCATTATGCACAAAAAATGATTTGCTCAAATTAATTGTTGAAGGCCTTGGTTAAAACGATTATTATAAAGTAGAGTCTGAGTAGTCTCATAGACTTACTAAGTACACAATGATATTGTTTTAATTTTTCAACCGTGAACCGATATTATCAAATATTTCAATTATTGCTTTTAATTTAATATTATAGTTTGGGTTAAAAAATATCTATAAGTTATTACTTATTTAACTTGCACTTAATTAGTGGGAAAATTCTATAGATTATATTATATAACTTAATATGATTTTTTTAAAATATTAAACATAAATATTATTGATTATCATGATTGCTATAGGTACTAGATAGTATTGTTGTAGATTATTTCGTTGACGTTTAAAAATTATATTAGATAAAAGTTTTAAGTTTAAAATCTTTTATTATATGATTTTACATGTATGAAATAAATCTATCTTAGAAAATTGAATTTATTATAATCTAAAATGTATTAGATTTCATCTTTACAAATATTACAATATAGATTCACTAGTCTCCAAGTAACTATTCCTTAGGTTTTATATTATTTTTCTTGAATTTTCAAATATCGAGGGATTGAGATTGTTGTAAAATACTGTTTTAATACTTAATGAAACATAAATTATTTATTGTTCCTAGTATAGTTATAAAGAGTAATAATATTTGTATTTTACAGCATTTATTTTAAAATAATGGACTGTATGTTTCAACTATATTCTTTCGATGGTTTCTTAAGTGTTTATTTTTTCTTTAAAAAAATGATAATATCTTGTCGACGCTGTACAATGATTGATCTCGAAAATGTTGCACTTGTTAAATAAAACACATCTTCTGTGAACAAATTTGGTAAGTAATCAAATTCAACATCATTGATAAATATCTAAGGTTGACAAATATGACAAGTTTTAGATAAGTAGGTATTTTCTTTTTGCTGACAACAGATTTTTTTACATTGTTGTTAAAACATTAATTTAGACATTCTTAAGTATTTTTGGGAAATATTAAGCAATATGTTTTACTACACATATACACTTTTGCTAGTTTTGTGTAAGCCAAGTTCCAATCAGAATTTTTTTTATTTTAAATAAGCCTAATCAGGCAAGACGAGTTTATCGATAAACTGGAACGCCTCGTTGTGTGTTCTTAACTCTGTTGAAAATTGAAATTTGAAAGTAATTTTAAATTGAAAATAGTGGACAACCTAATATTGAGTATTGCATTTAAGCTACTTTATAAGTGCATATTTCAGTTTTAAGTACCTACTCGGTATTCCACAAAGTATTTTCAAAAGGTAAAATTATTATTTAAAATGATCTAGAATTTGAATTCAAACCAGTATAATATTATACAGCGTTATCGATTTAGTCAATTTTTTTTGTTTTAATTTGTAATAAATCCCTTAAAAAAATTCCTAAAATGTATTTCAGAATAAAGTATACATAAATACTTAGTATTGGATAGTTACTACTGAGGTAGTTAACTAGAAATTCATATAATAAAGTATTTTTAGGACATTTGATATTTTTTGAAAATATATTCGATGACAACTCACAAGTATTCATCATAATATTATATAATATAAATTATAATAAAATAGTTATAAATTTATTTTTGGTAAGACTTCACCAAGTTAGCTAGGTAGAGGACAATATTATCACAGAAACTGTTGTATTTCATCTGGGTAAACAGTGACTAAGCTGTGAATCGTTTTTTTTAAATCAAATGATCAAAATATTAAATATATCACTTTAAAATCATTAAAAATTAAAATGTAAAAGTATAATATTATAATCAAAAATAAATAATATGCATTAAGCAAAATACTAAAAAAGCGTCTTAGGGGAGAATTGATGCCTATGTCATCCCCCCCCCCCATAAATACGAAAATGTGGGTAAATACTATATCTAACAGAAAAGTCCATCTACTGTTATAAATGGAGAAATATCAAATGACTGAGATAATACATATTTTGTTTCGTTAATATTATGTGGATGAGAAATTAATTGCCTATATCTTACTCCTTATAAATTCAATAAATGTATTACCTATGTTAAAATATTATAATGATGGAATATAATACTGTAACATACTCTGTATTTCACAAAACAGTCAACATATTATTATACATGAAAACAAGTAGAATATAGTCCAAACGGAGTATAACAATATTTCTTATAAAATGTTATTATAATATGAAATCATACATTATTGTTTATTTCATGCAAAAACCGTTATTCAGTTATACGAAATTATTATAGTTAGAATCAGCAATGCACATCATTATCTCCTTGACTGGACTTCATAAATAGAGACTAAAACCAAGACAGACGTAAATGTACAGAGTTACTGTATGCACCTCAAAGTCACTTAGCACCAAATTTGGTGAAACACTTGGAATATTTTCAAGAGTAGTTAAATACACATAATATTTAATTATTATTTGTAAATATTTATTTAAACTTCAACTGAAGTCGTATTTATTCAAACGATTGTTGATATTGGCATTAACATTATAGCCATAACTCATAATATTATGCCATCTTGTAATAAAGTAATGTAATGAATACATAAATGTGTAGAAAAATCAAAAACGTAAACCTTGTACCTACAATATAATATTACCTAATACCTATGTTATATAGGTTTTGATGTCAAAAAATCAAAATTTAATGAGACTTTTGTTACCTACCTCGATTGTTCGTTAATGTGAGTGCATCATTTTAAACATTTTGTCATTAAACACGGCTTACAATCGTTTGTCGGGAATGACAAATTACCATCGTATATAGGCCAATTTCAACAACCTATAATATTCCATAATAACACATTTCATTCGAGTACTGCAAAGACGCAATCCAAAAACAATAATCCGCATATATAATTGTGTAACAGTTAACCGTTTGGTCTTCACTGATCCTCTTGTAGGTATAACATCATACTAATAGCCTAATACATAATTGTAGATAAAACATGCAGCAAGTAACGAGTATTATATTATATAAAGACAATTGGCATGGTCGTCGCAGAGATGTCTCTCGCAGTACAGGCAAATAATAATTCAACACTGACAAATAAATCGCAGCTGACAAATGGTGTGGTCGTAAATTGCTATGGTATAAACCTGAAATTGTATATCTATATTATGCTCTGCCGTGGTCGTCAAAACCAGGGAGTCAAAAAGGGATAAAATATTTCGGGTTTCGTGCTCAAAACCGGGCTACATGTTTTGTTGGTTACCACGGTTCTTACAACCCAAAACCCGGGTTCGAACCCGTTTTGATTTAAAAACTGCTGACGACTATGTGTCCTTATTATAATTATTATTTAAATTAATCAAAAAGCATCTTTGCTCACTGTACGTTTTTTGCCATTCGTGTTTCATTTCAAAAACTCGTCTTGAATTGCATTTTACTTCAACCCAACCTCATCGTACGATCATACGTATGTATATACACTTACTGCTTATAAATAGACTTATCTTGGATACGGTCGTTCACTTGCTCATATCAAAATTTAATAATAGTAACGGTGACAATTTATTATAAAGACTTTGCAGTGTAATATTATAATAACGATGCTCACCCAGAACCGAGTTAGCAGCCGGACCCGCGGACGAGTTCCAGAAGCCCCTGATGGTAGTGGCCAACTTCTGCGGCGACGCCGCGACGGACGCTACGATTGCAGCGTGCAGTTTGCTGCCGGTTGTGCCGCCGTCTCCCGCCGCAGCCGGTCCGACTTGGTCGGCCGTCGCGAGCGTCGCGTCCGTATCCACCTTGACCGAGCGTCAACTTTGCGTACCGACCACTCCGCGACTCCCCTTGTAACCGCACTCGCGTGATCACCAACTGCCGGTGCACATCACAACGATGACCGCGGACGGCGACGACGCGGAACGATGATGATGACCGTGGCCGCTGTGCCCAAAGTGCAGTCCTCGTTATGCAGGCGGGTCGGCCGGGCAGCTATGGCGCGATGCACTCAGGATCTCGAAGCGAAGATCGCGATCGAGTTTCCTGTGCAGTGGTGGTTGAGGGTGCGAGTAGTGGTCGCGGTCGTGGTGATGCGTGTGCAGTTGTAGGAGAGGGTGAGGGGCGCTTTTGACTTCTGGAATGGCGGGGGGGGAGAATAATGTATATTTTTGCTTTTATGGTGGTGGTGATGACGATGGTGGTGCTGGCGTTGTGTTACGCTACGGTGATGGACATACGGAAAAACGCGGCGCGACTGTGGCCGGTGATCGAGCTCGGGCGCGTGACGGACGCTCAGTGCGACCGGCAGGTCCCTTCGAACGCCGCCGGCGCCGAATCCGCTCGTAGGCGTGTCCGGGGTGCCGGCGCCCCGCCCGGGTGCCGCCTCGATTCACGCGGGTCGCCCCCGACACCCGTGTCCCGACGTCCCGGTGCCAGCGTTCGCGCCCGCGCGTGTCTTCGTAGCTAGTGGGTATCTGGGTCAATGCGGCCCGGCGGTTCTTCGCAGGTCCACCCCGCCACACCCCACCAACGACGTATATGCAAATTAAGACCGGTGACTGACTATCGCTACACTACTCTGTGGTGCAGGGTGTATTGTGGGTACGCGCTTACACGAGTAATATAATATAATAGGTAGCTAGCTATATATAGCCCGCGAGGTTATCACAGCGACCGCGGAACACACGCGCGTGTAAACAGAAAAAAAATTTGACGAACGAGTGGAAATGAAAACTCGGTAAAAGAACAGAAACACCGTGTATAATATGATACTGTAGCATAGTTGTAAAGTATACTCGTAAAACAGACGACTTTATTGTTGTTGTTACGATTCTAGAGTCTGGCGTTGTATTGCGGAACGAGTATAATAGCTATTACATACATAAACTATAATATTGTTCTCGGTACGGGGTAACGACGACATACGCGCCCGCGCCATTGTATAAGAATATAAGATGTATAATATAACTATAATAATATAAGAATAGTACTGTATACGATGTGTGCACGGCACGGCGCAGTGTGTCCGAAGAACAAGACCGCAGAGTAACTATATAATATGTAATATACGTATATAGTATTGCATTATGTTTTATTATATACATAATGGGCTATGGAGGTGTACTGCTGTTCCGTATTACACTGGTAATGCAAAAATATACTGACTCGTTCGCTGTATAGTACAGTTTATTCGAAATTCTGATATTTCACGTCTATATAGTATTTGTTTTATAATAAATTAAATTATAACTGAAAATTACGTAATTTGTGACTTAGAAATAACTTTGCGATCGATTTTTCTCCTTTATGCGTGTTACATAAACTATATTTACGATAGTTTGCTAAACTATACCCTGTGCCAGTAAAAAAGAATTCTCTATGAACGACAACTGCACGTACTTCAAACATTAAAATATTCTTCTCGTTTCGTTTAAATATAACTTGAAATAACATTAGGTTTACATAAAGTTTATTTTAAACCATATATATTTTTCATGTGAAATCATCATCATAACTGAAATCAAATTAAATTATATATTAATAACAATACATATTGTAATTACATAATATTATAAGGATTATGGACACTAATACTCTAAGCATTGATTATAAATATTATATTATAATCAATGGTTATATTATGTATCAGTTGTACATTTATTAATTTATGTCAAAGAAATATAAGAATAGTATTATTGTAGAAGACACTATATTATAAATTATAATAAAACATGCTTTATACATTCTACAAGACTAATATTGTTTTAACATCTAAATATAATTTTCATCCAAAAAAAATAACTCTATAGACAAAAAAAATATAGTAAATATGTATTTGGTATCAGTCTCACTTCACTCACCACATTGCAGCTAGGGTAGCAGTTTCTTATGAAAGCAAATTTGAAAGCAATAATAATCCATCGTATTAAAAAAACGATTTTAAGTTCAATTGATGTCGAGATTACTTACATTTCTTCAACAATTTTTGATTGCTATCGGTGGTTTTTCTTAACGCTTAGAGAAACTATTGAGATAGGTAATCTAAAAATGCTTCTTTTCAAAGTACCAGCCCGACTTAATCTCTGATCTTATAACTACGACATTGTTACATAAAACTTTTTAAACACTCTTTTAGTTTAATCTTCTACCTGATATAGTGTTCACAACAAAAATAAATATAGATTCCTTGTTTTGCTTGTAATCTAAAATCTATTATGAAATAAGAGAAAATATTTGTATACAAAGTGTACTTTATTATAATACAATTATAGATAGGTATTTAAGATCTATACCTATAGTAGTTAGTATCTACACAAGTAATTTGTATAATGTCATAATGATACAACACAGAACACTACACACCTATACCTATATACCTACATTATTTTTTTACTGGAATTACATTATTATATAAATTATTAAGTTTAAAGAAAAATGTGGGCTTCAAAAGTTGTAAGGAGAAACCAGTAGTGGACTATTTTTGCTGTGCAATAATTAATTTTTTTTCACCTATTCAATTATATCTTTGTGTAAATATTACTACTCATTATTTATGGTAAACTGAATAGAATATTTTTCTTCATTCAATCGGTAGGCATATTGTGTCCAGTTGGCAACAGTTGCCATTATATGGACTAGGCAGTAGCCAGTAGGTACCTACATTAATACGTTTAAATCATTTCATAAATTACACACGTTTTCCCATTCTTAAACCAATATTATAGTAATCCAATAGATTTGAATAATTTACATTTTACACACATTCTTCATGAGTAATTTATTTAGGTGCTCATTTTGTTACTAACATAAATAACTTTCAACTATAATATTGTACAGACGATAAATAAGCTGACTATTGTTTATTAGATCTAAATTTGGCTTGTAAGATACACATATTATACTATAGTATATTTGCACATTAACTTAATCCTCTGAAGTCTTAACAAACACACTAGTAAATATATTTTCATTGTTTATTTAGACCTATTGACAATTACTAAGATCTACTAGCTATTTAGGAATTTATGATGCAAGTTTATTTAAGCTTTGTATGAATATTGTTTAATCTTAGGATTATTTTAAATAAACGTAGACACGTTAACACTTAGCATTTCAGATGATTAATATTGAACGTTTAAAAAATAACTTTGTCAAGTTTTATCTAGGTATATAATTAAAGTTTATATTTTGTATATTCAAGTAAGTACTCATTATTCATAAATTCATAAATCAAAATAAATATTATATTGAAACGAAAACAAATGTACACATTTTTAACATTTATTGCACTATAATATATACAATCTTTATTTACCATAATCATAATATGTGCGAGAAAAAAATATATATTATACAGACGTGGAGAGAGAAGTACACTCAGATATGAACGATTATATGATTGGACTATATTATATATTATTTGTTATTATTTTAGATTCTGAGCGGAGAGATGAATGTAGGTATTGATTTTACAATGATGTGTGTTTTTTATTTTTATTTTTTTTAACCACCATTTGGGGCAGTAAAACTGCTTCGATTTCCTTCAACAGTATCTTGTTCGATGGGAAAGTGAATTTAGTTGGTGCATTCGGGAAGTCAAATTTTAAAATATTCAAAAGCGCAGGGAAAAACAACATAAAAATTAAGGAAAAACGGGAATTTATATTTGATTTTAGTAACTGTTCTATACCCTCGACATATTTTTGTAACTTTCTCAAAAGTACCCAAGAATATTAAAAATCTTTAAATTATATATTTGAGGTCCGTAGCAATTTTTCGATATTTTAAACTATCTCAAAAATATCAGTAATTTATCATACATTTATTAATTTTAAAACCAATAATTTCGTCTTTAACTTAAAAAAATATTATGATACCATCTAAAAATGACTAGGTTATAAGAAATATAAAAGATACTGATTTTTTTATTTCATAAAGAATTTGCAACGTTTATTTAATTTAAAAAAATATTATTTTCTTTAACTATATGAATACTCAGTATATGTTGCACAAGAACCTAACATGACATGAAAGTTTATTAAGCTGGTGAAAGGAAGTTGAAATGAAGTTTTATACTGTAGTATAAAATACATATTATACTTCAAGAAAGAAAAATTGTATGTAGGATTGTTCTCTTTGAAATATGTATTAGATTCTGAGCGGAGCTATGAATGTATTGATTTTACAATGATGTGTGTTTTTTAAATTTTTTTTTTTGTCTACGGTCCATTTTTAATTTCTAATTTTTTAAGTTTTTGTTCTATGAATGTCAATACAATTTTAATTTTTGGGTAAAAATGCTTGGAAATTGAATACAAGGTTTTTAATATATTGTTACAATGACATTTGAAAAATATTAAAAATCCATAGTCACAATTTCTTTTATAAGCATTTAAAGTTCAAATGTTGACAAACCACTTAAATATCACAAAAATGCTTAAATTATTTTGAGTTAGAAATTCATAAACATTTTTCTTTTTAAATTTAAGATTTAAAAGCGTAATACAAAATTCCTCATACGTTTGTAATTTGTATACCTTTATCAAAAAAAAAAAATGTCTATAAGAAGGTCAAATTACATTTTTATTTTTTATAAGCGTTTGAAGTTCAAATTCTTCTATATATATTTTTCGTAGTTGTATGAAGGGTTATATAAAAATAAGCATTAATTTAAAAACAACTATTTTATGATTAAATTTAAATGTGGTAATTATTTATTATTATTAATCTGAAAATGACCGTCTTTGCTCATCAGTCACATTTATTAAAAATAATAAAATAAATCATAAAATTTATGCGTTATCAATAAAGTTCCAAACTGTTAATAAGACAATATTCTATTGGCAATATTGAATATAATTATATTATATTATATAAATATAGGTAGGTAATCATAAAACTAAAATATTCAAATTTGTATTCGTTTAAGTAAAATGAGCATAAACCACAAACATATTACATCAAGCACTGTGGCTCTATACATGCATGTCAAATAAATGATAACTACAAAATCAAATTATTATTATGGACTTCCGTATCCGGTATTGCTGTATTGGTCTCATAAAAAAAATATAACACTGCTCCTGATAATTACATTTTTTAATAGAGAGTTCAGAATATAAAAGGAATAAATTCAAACTAAACTGCAGTATTTTAAAAATATTTGTACGCCATGAATAAAATAATATACAATGTAAAACTTTTGAAAATTATAATTTAACTTTTGTAGGTATTAATACGCGATGCTATGGTTAATTTTTCACTTTAAAATGATAATTTAATTTTTATCGATTTAAAAAAAATTAAAATGAATGCGTTTCATTTGAAATAAAAAAAATATACCAATATAGGACAAGGTATACAAATGATTGTATACTACCTACATATACCTATAAGCAATACAAATAATTAGTTTATGGGTCCATCGTCCATGTTGAAATATTATATAGTATACATTTTCCAATGAAT